TCTGCCTCTCCAGTCTGGCTGTGTGCACGTAATCCCGGCTCTGCCTCTCCAGTCTGGCTGTGTGCACGTAATCCCGGCTCTCAGAAGGATAAAGTAGTAGGGCAGAACGCTGGAGGCCAGCCTTGTCTACACAGCAAGTCTGTGACCCAACCCACACCAAAAACACTTACCAACAGAGTCCCAGCGAGAAGGAGCCCCATGTCCTAGATGATCCAGCAAGAGGCTGGCAAAACCAGACCCTGGCCTTGGGCCAGAGCCCCAGGTTAGCCCAGACTGAGTGGCGGGGGTGGCTGCAGGCGCCCGAAGTGATGCTGTCCTCTTGCCTGCCTTCTCACAGCGCCTGGCCCACGAGTGTCTGTCACAGAGCTGTGACAGCGCCAAGCACTCGCCGACGCTGGTGCCCACGGCCACCAAGCCAGACGCCGTGCAGCCGGACAGCTTGCCCTATCCTCAGTACCTGGCCGTCATCAAAGCCCAGATCACCTGTGCCAAAGACATCCACACGGCTCTGCTGGACTGTGCCAACAAGGTCACAGGCAAGACTGCTGCAGCCTCAGCTGGCCCTGGGGGCAGCCTCTGAGGTCTTGGTGAGGGCGGGGCAAGAATGAAGACTGGCCTGAGGCAAAACAGGTGGCTCCTGGTTTATTTGTCACGCCGGAGCGGTGTAGCTGAAACCAGAAACCAGCAGGGGGCAGCAGAGACCTGCAGCCAGCACAAGCCAGGACTCCCTCTGCTGCCAGCTACTGGGCTCCCTGACCTAGGGTGGCCCTCCCAGCTGAGCAGGGATGACCTGTTCCAGGGACTCGGCCTCCTCCCTTACCTCCATCTCCCGCCTGGCCCTGGTGCGGCACTGCCTGGGCCCTTCAGACCTTCCTCGTTCTGTCCCGTGGAGGCATTCTTTTCTTTCTTTTTTGGTTTCTCGAGACAGGGTTTCTCTGTGTAGCTTTGCACCTTTCCTGGAACTCGCTTTGTAGCCCAGGCTGGCCTCGAACTCACAGAGATCCGCCTGCCTCTGCCTCCCGAGTGCTGGGATTAAAGGCGTGCGCCGCCACCGCCCGGCTAGGCGTTCTTTTCTACGCCATCTTCCCCAGTCCTGCCTCCGTCTACTGTCCTCTTTTGTTGCCTTTTGCCCCAACTCCTAAGTGGGATATGAATATAAGGGGAACCAAAATGCTGGGTTACCTGGGGCTACAGGAAGGGACTTTCTGACCCAGAAAAGGAGAAGTGCAGGAATGTAGGCCCTGACCTCAGCACATACGACCTAGGGGCTTTGGGTCCGGCTCTACCCTGCGTCAGCAGGGCTCTAGCGGGGGCCATTGTGCAATGTGTGGGGAGGCTGCTGCAAGGGACTCCCGGGTCCCTATATTTTTAGCCCCAAAGCAGAAGTGAAAAGGCCCCAGCAGGAATGAATCATGGGTTCTGGGGAAGAACCTCGCTTCTCCGGGAAGCAGGCCTGGAGCGGGGGCTTCAGGGACGGAGGGAGGGAGAACCCCACAACACCCCACTTCCCACAAATCTGAGGAGCTCAGCTAGAGCCTGCGGGCCTGGATACGACCAACCCAGGCCTGGCCGTGAAAGGAACTGTCCCACCCAGTACCTTCTGTGCCCGGTTCCCGTGTCACCAACTGATGTGCAGGGGCTCAGGTTCCCACCCTGGGAACGCTGGGAAGTCCTCCAAGTGCAAGTGCGTACGCACCGCCTGGGCATTCCTCTCCCTGCCTGCCTTCAGTGCCCGGAAGCCTGAGGTCTACCCGTTTGTCTGGTTAAATCATCCCCTCCATTCCTCAGGTCCTTACCTAAAGTCACTGATCTTGAGCCTGGAGACAGGGTCTCACTCCATAGCCTAGACCAACCTCAAAATCTAGTCCAGTCTGCCGTCTAACTCAGCTGTCCATGCCTCAACTTCCCAAGCGTTGTGATTATACCCTCCGTGCGTGCGTGCGTGCGTGAGTGCATGTATGTGCATGGAAGATGCTTCCATGTGTGGGGGGAGAGCTGGCCTTGGGTGGAGCGGGTCTCCTTTGCTCTTGGTCTGAGGCAGGAATGGTCCTTTGTCATCCTGTTGTGTCTCCTGCACCACACTCCAGGCTAGCTGGCCTGGGAGCTCCCAGCCGATTGTGCTGTCTTCACCTCCCTCTTCTCCACACAAGGGTTGGCGATGACAGATTCGATGCAGAGCACCATGTTCAACTTTCTTTTTGAGATAGAGTCTCATTATGGAGCCCAAGCTAGTCTTGAACTTGGGATCGATCCTCCTGCTTCAGGCTCAACTCCTAGGATTACAGGGCTGCACCACCATTTGCTTTAACTACACTTACAAAATGCCTTGATACCTTGATGTGGAGGCAAGAAAATTGCAAGTTCAAAGCCATCCTGTGCTACATAGTAAAACCTCACCTCATCTCAACCAAAAGAAAAGCCAAGCCCTTAACAATACCTAGATAGTAACTGGAACTCTTTCCCAAAGTGACGCAGCAGCCGATCACCTGGCTCTGATCACTCGGGCACCCAACACACGTCTCCTTGGCCAGTCTTCGTTTCTAGAAATGGTTCAGGGATATAGTGAGCTTGTATACAACTGAAAATACAAGGCAGAACACATCAGTTTCCAACCAGGGCTCACACCATATATTTGCTAGGATATGGCAGTCTGGTACAAGGAGCCAGGTACAGCTGGCCCTGGCCCTACAGGGTGATGTCAGCATATCACGTGCAGGTAGGCGTGGCGTCCAGCACTCAGACGCTGCAAGGCCCATGCTTAAAACCACACTCCGGGTGACAGGTGTGTGTTCCACCACCCCACACCATGGGAGATGGGCACCGAGCTACATTCATTCAAAAAACAGGGCAGCTTTTGAAGGGCCCTGTGCAGTGTGAGTGAAGATCCTATATTCCTAGAGATGAACAAAATGCAACATGGTATGTATATAAGCCTGTAATTCCAGCATGCAGGAGAACCAATACAAGTTTTAGGTCCAGACAGAGCTACATGGTGAGAGCCTGTCTCTAAAGAGGAAGGGGGGTGTGGGGGGCATTGAGGTGGCTCAGTGGGTAACCACACTTGCTACCAAGCCAGGTGACCTAAGTTCAGTCCCCGGAACTTGCTTGTTGGAAGGAGGGAACTGACTGGCACAAGTGGTCTTCTCACCGCCACACACACTTGTTTAAAAAAGAAGTGGGCTAGTGGCCTACATTCATACTAGCATTTGAGAGCCTGAGGCAGGAGGATGGCTTGAGACCAGCCTGGGCAGAAATAAGCCAGTCTGTCAAAGAAACCCTTGCTAAGCAGGTGATAGCAGACTGGAAGGAAAGGGAATTGGGTCTTATGAATACCCCCAGCACAAGTGTCGGGAACCACAGAGCATTGGCCAACATCTGGCACGAATGTGCTCTCAGAAGTGAAGAGGTTTGCGCTAGGTTCGGGGAACATGGGTCATGAAGGGCCTTTTCCCAGTCTTACGGGCACAGATGGAGTTGGATAGGCCTGTGCAAAACCCCACGCCAGGGAGGGATGTGTATGAGATGAAAAACCACAGAGCCAGCCAAAGTGGCTCATGCTTGTAATCTCAGCCCTTGAGAGGCAGAAGTAGGACCCTTGTTTCTCCTGTCTACAGGCTGACCATGGGCACATGCCCCACCCCAGCAGGGATTAGCACACTGGCCATCCTCCCACACACATGGACCCTGCTCCATGAGCAAGTACTAAAGCACCCATCTGACCACGTGATTCCCGAACCCTGTAACCACCACTTAGTCCACTATCTCTCACCCCATCAAGACTTTGCCCCTCACAGCTGACTCAGCTCTGGCAGAGCAGCCTCATTCGCTGGGGACAGATAAGATCGGCTCAGACACTCAGCTTCTAGGTGCGGGTGTGTGCACGTCTGTTCTGCCCACAGAGGCAGACACAGGAGCATAACACAGCCAGCAACTCGCCCCCATCATGTGCCCGCTGCTACGTCAGGCACCAAAGTTCACTGGTTTCACTGCCTTGTGACTGGTCCACGGAGGAACTATGTCCAGACTCAGGTCTACCACGTAACATCCAAGACAGCCACAAACAAGGGCACAGACCCACAAGTACCACTGAACACACACTACAACAGTGTGGGCGAGCACAATCCCATCACCCAGGCACCCGTGAGGAATGACACACGAAGTCACCCCAGATCCCACAGCAGCTCAGTTACGCACAGATGGGGGATGGAAGTGACAGTTCCCATGAAGCCCCTCAAAGACAGCTGCAGTAGCTACAGTTGACAATCCTCCAGAGGCCATTTGCAGCACACATGATCTAGTCTGTGGTGCAGACAGGCGGCTTCACATTTATTTACAGGGTCCTGTTCTATGGGGACCTTAACCACGGGCCACATAATTGTCCTCGCACCTACGCCCCCGATTGCAGACCTTGGACTCCCCACAACACACCAGCAAGCACACCTCCCTCCCGCGGGAGCCTGGCATATCGGCTGTGTCCCTGCAGCACCCTGCCTGGACCACACTCGCAGGCAATCACGACAGGCACGCACGTGCCGCGAGTACACGGGCCCTCTAGCCCGCCCACAGGCTCTCACACCCCCGAGTTTCCCGTCGCCGCTTGTTTTTCTGGAAACTCAGCTCTGCGTTCTGCTCCCCCCCTCCCCGCCGGAAGTGCTTGCTATATTTTTAGCCTCTCTGGTTTCCGCCCCTTTCGCTCCCCCAGCCCCCACCCCAGCGCGCACAGGACGTGGCCGAGTGCCCCGCAGGACCTTGGCCACCCCCTTCCCCACCGTCATTCCAGAGGGGATTCCCGGCCACTGCCAGGGCCGCGGATTTTCCCGCTGGCTACGTGGGGAGCAGGGAGGAGTCAGGCCATGAACTTCCTGCTGGGATGGGGGCACCCAAGCGGGGGCTGGATGGGATCCTCGGACTCCTAGGTCTAGAGAATAGGGACTGGGGCCTGGATCTCTGAGCGCGAGGGGGGAGTGGGACCTGGACACCCGGGTCTGAGGGAGGAGGGCCAGGGGTCCCAGGGAGAGGAAGTGAGGCCTGAACGCCTGGATCTGAAGAAGTCCAGGTCCCACTGAAGATCGCCTCTCTGTCTGGATCCCTGGACAGGCCAAGGGGGCGGGGGGTGGGGGCCAGGGCTCCCGTGTTGGGGCGGGGGGTAGGAAGAAGCTGAGCACCTGACGGATCACTTCGTGAGTCCTGCAGCTTAAAGTCGTGATTTTCTGAGGATCGCCACACCTCTGCCCCCTTCCCCCCAGCACCCTTTGGAGAGTGGCTGAGACCCAGTTGGCCAGGCTTTAGTCCCAGTGACTCAGCAGATAGAGGAGGGGTCCAGGCTGAGTCAGGGATGGCAAAAGCTCCCAGTCTCCAGGGAATCGAAACTGGAATTACTCCTCCAGGATCCAGACCCAGCTGGCCTCCGAAAACCCCAGCACGCCCCACCCCAACCCCCGTTTTTTGCGTTTGGTCCTAAAATCGGCTGGCTCAGGGATTTGTAAACTGGGCGGGAGGCAAGTTTTCGGGGCCCCTCCTTCCCTTCTTTTCCCGTTGTCCTCGAGACTGTTTACAACAGACTGGATCCCTGGTTACAAGAGAGGAACCCAAGCGTCCCGGCTGAGCGTCCTCGTCACGGCTTCCAGGAAGGCCCCCCTCCCCCGCCCAGGGCGAGTGAGTCACAGGCGAGCGGGAGGCCGCAACCGTGCCACAGCAGCCTGCGGGCCCGCCCAGCTCACGGGACCGGCCCAGGAAGGCCCCTTGGCCCCAGAAAGCGATATACCAGGGATTCCCCCCCCCCCCCCCCGCGCCCGCTCCGGTGAGGCAAACCAGTGAGAAGCCTGGCAGAATCTCCCCACCTCAATACAAGTGCGCGACGCACCGTGCAAGAACTTCCCAGCATTGTAATTACACTCCTAAGCAAGGATAACCCCCATACACAAACACTTTTTCACTGAAGAGATCCTTGAAGTAACACTTTTTTTTTTTTCACCTGGGTGGGGCGGCGGGCCGTGCCTGTAATCCTAACACTACTTGGGTGGTGGGGATTGGAGGATCGCAAGTTCCAGGCCAGGCGGGGGGTCCTGCTAAAAAACAAAAACCTGAACAGATCTGG